CCAGCTGAAGCCTGTTCAGCCAGCAAATTTGAAGGATGTGGAACAAACGAAAAGGAGATCTCCCCCGCAGCCACGATGCCGCCTTTTTTTCGCGGCACTGGGTCGGTCTGGAATGCCGCCTTAGCTTTTGCTTCTGCTTGCTTCCCGTTCCCTGGTTCTGTTTAAGCGAGAGTGTCGTTAAAAAAAAACGCCCCGGTCCTGTTCTCCGCCCCCCCTACGTTAGACACTTAGTATGTACCTTACTACCAACCCAGCTACCCCATTACACCAGTCACCAGTTAGGAATACGAGCAGGCGACCAGAAATGTCAAGAAACAGGGGTTATCCTTATGTCAGACGACTCCTGCCAATGAAAATCCTCCAGGCAGCCAGCCGTAGCCTCCTTCTGGTACGGTTACAGCTTGGGGGGAAGGGGGGGCGTATGTCATTGGATCAAATCCTACATGTAGGTACCTGGAAATGGGCGGGTGCATACTGACCTTACTTGTACATGCTTAGGCTAGAGCAGACAGACAGAACCAAGGGCCCAGAACCTGCAGAACCGGGCGGAAAGGCTCACATTGCACCTTACCTTAGGGGCGGCCCAAGGAAGGGGGGAAAGGCCAATCACGACTCTGCAAAAACGTAACGGCGCCGTGTGGATTGAACGGTGGCCATGGAGAAATTTCATCCTTTGGTGTGTATCAAGTTGTGGCTGACTCCTTGTTAGGAAACCTGCCCGAAACAAGCTTTCTGCCTGGGGGCGTTCCCACCCCTCCTAGAGAGCTGCAACCCAGCCCATGTCACGCGTGAGACTAGAGCCGTTACGCTGTTCTTTTTCTTTAAATACGCGGTACAGCTGAGGTTGACCCTGCTGGTAGGTAAAGATGGAACGCGCGGGAGGCGGAAACATCGTAATGACAACGGGGTGCCGTGCAGCTGGGGAAATTCAATCTCCAGTCTTCTGGACTCCCGGATGCATGCCCCGTTTTGGGCTGAGGGAATAATTCGGCCGAGGACTGAAGTGCTTGCTGGCATATGCGCCCGGTGGGATGGATGGATGGGCGCGTCCGCGGAGAAAAACGAAGAGATCAAATGAAAAAGATCAGCCGTACCGCCTCGAAGGATTCGCATCTGCCTGGCTTAAACTCATCCTAATTATGTAAAAAGTCAGGACAGGGCAGAGCTGAGCTGGGCTACGGATCGGTGCTTGGAGCCTTGCTGGAGCTGTAGAACAGAAAGGAAGAAGAGGAGACACGTTCATTCTGCTCTCGCTTGCTCTTTGCCCGGGCGACGAATCAAACGGGCTCCCTTTGAATTGAACCATGTTCATCCTTAATGTAAGCCCCCGCCCGAATGCGGCCACCGCCCATCAACCGAGCCCCTCGGGTTCCGCCCTGGTAATAACAATTGCTGCTGTTGCAGACCAATTGTTTTCTCTAGGTCGTACATAGGTAATGAGTGCACGGCTGCGCCTTCGATGCGTGTGACTGTGTGACATCAATCCTCGACCTACAAAGTACAGCATCGGGTTATGGCGTGGTTCACCCGCGTCATCGCCCGTCCCGTCCTCACAACACCGCGTCTTCGTCTGAATACCCCATCGCCCCGGCGTCGTGTGTGGTGTGTCGCGTGCCCTCCCACCTCGATTGATGGATGGACGGATCGGCTTGGCCTCACGTGCTCGTCAGCCCTTTTCATCTGAACGGGGCCGGGCGGCAACGCGGACGCTGGCTGGCCAAGATGTCAATTGTCAATTGGATGGTGTCTTGGCCTTGGTGGCCGCCATTCACGCGCACGGATGCCAATAGCGTCTTGTCACGGGCGGGAAGCTATGCTCTGTGACAAAGTTCGATGCAAATGAGGGAGAAAGAAAGAAGAGAAGGCTGGTTGTGGTGGTGAAGCTGAGGACAGCTCGAGGGCCGGCGGAAAGCCTCCCTCTCTCATCGTTATTCAGCCTGGGACCCTGAACTTTTGGCTTGCTTGCTAGCGCTTGCGCTACACGGTCACACGCTCGGGAAGTCTGTTTACCGACTCCCCGAGGGGGACCAGCTAGTTTATGGCGTTTTGGAGTTTATTTGCCTTTACGAGTCGATCTCCTGAGTCCTCAGTGAGTAAGTTGTCTTCTCATTGAAGCGATGAGATTGCTGATGATTTGACCGAACATGTTCTCGCAAACTATGATGAAAATATGTACTGGAAGTGAAAAAAAACAACGTGTGCCCGGCTACGCCAAGCCTTCTTTTTCCTTCTTCCCCCCCCTTCTTCAGAGGGTCGCATCCATTCCCCACATCTTCAAGCGCCCGACGGTTTAGCCCTGTCAACCTAAACTCTTGGTGGCCGTCGCCTTGGCAGTCTTGGAAGTCTTGGTCGTGCCGCCGACCGTCACGTCCGTGGCGCTGCAGGGGAAGTCCAACTTATCCGTCGATGCGATGTTCTTGCAGATGTACTCCGCGCCGCCCTTGGTGCCCACGAGCTTCGTGCCCGTGGCGGTGATGTCCTGGCAGACGTCGCTGCACACCATGCTCACGACCTCGGCCGCCTTGCCGCCGGTGCCCGTCACGTCGATGTAGTGCACGTCGCTGATGGTGACGCCCGAGGGGTGCTGCGCGCAGGCGGCGGCGGAGGTCATGTAGCACTGGTCGATGACGATGGGCAGGTCGACGTTCTTCATGGTGAAGGTGTCGAAGGTGACGTTCTGGACCACGCCGGTGCCGCCGCCTGATGTGGACGTGGCGGAGGCGCTGCCGCCCCAGGCCTTGATGCGGGCGCCGTTGGACGCGTTGACCATGGTGATGTTCTTGGCGTAGATGTTGCGCACGATGTCGACCTGGCCGGCGTACTGGCCGAGGGAGCCGACGGAGATGCCGTGGGAGCCTTGGCAGTAGCTGATGGGCTGTCAGTCTTGATACTCGGGCAAAGGTGATCTCTAAGTTAGGTGACTCACAGGTTCTTGACGGTGATGTCGGTAGAGTTGGGCTTGAAGGAAACGCAATCGTCGCCATTGATGACGGTGCAGTCCGTGATGGTGACCTGGGAGCTGCGGTAGGTGTCCCAGCTGGTCTGGTCAGTGTCTATGTCGGACAGCTTTAGGGCAGTTGGCAACGGCTTACCCATCGGTGTTCTGGGCCTGCTTCCCACTCGTCTGGACAGAGTTCATGTTCACGTGGCTGTACGTGACGTTGGTGCAACCCTCGACAAGGTTGTGCCAGAAGGGGCTCTTGTTCATGGTGATGTGCTCGACGAGGACGTTCTTGGCGTTGAGCAGGGTCAACATGATGGGACCCGTCTTGCCGGCCGCGTACCAGGCTACATCAGCAGTCAGTCAACACTCTTTATTGCCGGAGGGCAAGTATTAGTCACGTACCGTCGCCTCCTCCATTGTAAGAGCCGCCGCCGTAGATCTAGAAAGAACGTCAGGAATGATCGCCGTTCCAGAGAGGGGAGAACTTACATGAATGTTGCTACCGCCGATGGCCCACGCGGTGTAGGCATCTTGGTAGGTAAGCTGGATGGAGTTCTTCTGCCAGTAGCTGAGATCCGTGCTCAAGCTGACGGTGCCAGAGAGCTGGATGGCGATGTTGGACAGGTCCTCCGTCTGGAGCACGGAGCCGATGGTGTATGTCTTGTCAAGGACAACCTGGGACAGCAACAAGTCAGCGTCCTGATCACCGCGCCAAGTATCTTCGATCTCACGCACGGTTCCGCCATTGTTGCACTGCTTCAACGCAGCCAGGATAGCAGGGGAATCGTCAGAGGTGCCGCCTGTTGTTGGGTTTTATCAGCTTATCTATCGCCTTGGGACAAGGACCATGGAGCTTTAAGGTTACGAACCAGCAACTTGGCACGTCAGAGCCGCGGCGGAGCTGACGGCGGCAAGCATGGAGATAAGCGTCTTGGCAGCCATGGCGAACAAGCTAAATCAAGCCAGCGAGGATCTCGGAAAGAAAAGCAACAAGATGCACGTCAGTATTGTTTCTACCCCAGATGCCAAGACATTGAAGGATCCTTATATGCAACCCTCCCCATTCCCATGCTGTTTACGCTGGTGAAAGGGTCCAGCGAACTCCTCAACCTCGTGAGAAAGTGAATTGCTTCCGACGGAAGATTTTGGGGCCTCTTTCTGCTGTAGACACCGCGATGTTTTCCCGTCCAATCAACCGTGCCATAGTCGATGTAGCCATCGCTATCTGAGGCCGCCCTTCCTGTCCTATGCCAATTTCCCACCATTGAGTGGGAGAGAGTCCCCACACGTGGGCGAACCTCAACCGGCACGGCACCTGGCGAGAGAATTAGAGTTGGCGAGTGCCCCCCTACCGTTGCCGCTGCCGTTCACAACCAGATGATCAGAGGGGAGATTACTTAGTAGCTGCCTTCGTTCCTGAGATAAATTGCATGCGATCCGAAGTATCCGAGGCCTGCTGGGAGCTAGCCGGCTTCCGCGTGGTGCTTCTGAGTCGTGTGCCGATAACCGAGTAAAGCATGCATTATCATGCAGGGGGGCGCGCTTCGACCAACTGGAGGGAGTGTACGGATATGCTGGAGTTCAAGATCACATTGGGAAACGGAAACGGATGCACGGCAAGAACCTGTCGTATGTTGCTGTCATTTGCGGCTCTGCCTGTTCTCACAAAGGAGCTGAATAGTAACTTATACGACAGACCTAGACAGGGCGCCATGACAAGAGGCCTTGAAGAAAATTCTTATCAGACGAGAAGGAATTGGAATTACTGGCATTAGGAGATATCCCCTTGGCTTTCTGGTCGAAGCTTCAAAGCAGACAAAATAGCCTGGGCTCTCTCTGTAGGCCAATGGAATAAGTGAGTCTGCTGCCGGTATTCCATCCAGTAGATCATCCCGCCAGGGAATGTTTTGTATTTGAGAAACTTTTAACCGGTGACTATTTTGAGTCTTCAGCATTGAATCATGCTTTCGGGGAAATATGTGACCATGAATCCTTCCAGCCAGTAAAGTGTTCATTCCGGACAGCTTCTTTCAGAACCACTGACGTCATTCGTTTGCTATGTGTTGGGAGAATCAACAGAATATTCATACATGTCCCTGCTGTCCTCAGAATCAGAGAACCACTCTTGAGGCTGAATTCGAGACAACAAGTCGATTGCTCCCGAATTGGGCACGGTGTTAAAGTACAATAACGATTGGAAGGGATGGTGGTTGAGAAGGAGGGGAATCAATGCATCGCGGTAGTGCAAACTTAGTTCGGTTTCACAAGCATGTCTCCACCGCAACTCTTCACCAGAAGTATAAGGTATGTCTCGACCGCTTGGCCGATGACCCATTGAAGGCTTTCGACTTATAGGTACAGCCCAGCTGTGGAGAAAGAATGTCGTACAGAATCGGCATGTCTTACGTCCAAAGTGCACACTAGTACAGTCTTTCTCCTTGTTCTCATCTGCGATGATAATTCGACGTAGGACGACATTGGTTTGAAACCTTATTAAAACCCCGTGCAAGCAACAAAGGACGTCTCCCGGGCGAACGTCAGAATTGACCAAGAAGGTCTCGTTGGGAATGGGGTTCGGGGTTCGGGTACTTTTGGCAGACTTGTGCCAATCTTGTGGTTTCTTAAAATTGTAAAGCGTTCGCAAAGACTTGAGTTGCGGCGGGATGTGCAATTTGGGGTGCGTTCCAGTTCCATTTCTTTGGTCTTTGTGGCCAGTATGTTTGAACAAACCCAACTTTTCGATGATCTCCGTTGGATCTGCTTGGCTTGCTGTGACTCTGAGCTCGCGATGGTCTAGGTCTTCGGAGTCTTCCTTGTGTATCTCCGCCATACCGGAGATTTCAATAGTCGCAGATTCTTGATGGAATAATTGAGCATTAGACGGACCCCACGCCTGAGACTCGAAAAAGGCGATCACGTCCTCGTCAAGACCGCGAATTTCAAGTACATTGCGAACTAGACACAGGACGTCGTGCTTGTCTGCCACACACTCATTCTTGTAGTGACTATACAAGAGCTTCGTGAGATCTCTGAATAGAGGGAACCATGTTGATTGCCCATATATGACCGGGAGATTCTGTCGTATAGGGTCGTTCCGAGGAAGCAGAGAGAGAAGAGCGTATATCTTGTCCACTGCCACAGAAGCCTTCGCGGTTCTATATCTCGCTACCAGGTCTATGAACGTCGATATTTTCGTCAACTCAGACCGGTGGTTGCAGAGCTGTGCGCTGATAGAAATTCTCTCCAGCTCTTTGCGTTTAAAGATCCTCCGCTCTTCGCGTTCATCGAGATCATACTTGAACGGGCCAGATTCGCGTGAGTCAGCACTGGAATCTGAACCTTCAACTGAGGAATCGATGAACGGGGAGGGATCGATGAACGGTGAATCGATGAATTTCGTCTTGCCGGCGTTGACAGCATGATCAAATTCACTCCACGAAAGGCTCTCGAGTCCGTAGAAAATATTGATTTCTCTTGCGAGGATGATCTCTTGTTTGATCCACACCCTATCAAAGTAGGGCAGTAGATCAAACTTGTGCCGAAGCTTGCCAATCTCTCGATCGTTGCCGGATATGAGGATTTCTCGCACATTTCCTAGACTTTCGCCAGTTCCCAGGCTCGCAGCCACCGACGAGGCAGAGGAAAATATCTCTCCCATCATAGCGACCTGGTGGCCTTTCTCCTCATCATTGCCTTGGTTTATGCAGAGCGAGTCTATCCAGAAGTTGACGTCGCTAGTATAGCCGTGGTGCCGCATCTGCCAAAGCGCGTACCAGCAGTTGAATTGCACTCGCATCCGGAGCCCATTGATTACAACGGGAAGTTTCGGGATAGGCAAGCCCCAGGCGTAAGATATAGCGATGTAGGATGGCCGACTATTCTCTTGGAAATCATGAACCTCCAAGCTGAAGGCGTATTCGTCGGTTCCGGTTGGGGACGGCTCCAGACGGAGCAATCTGATTTGCTTGGCAGGATCGGAGAATCCCAGGTGTTTGTAGAGTGATGACATCGTCTGTAAGTGTGGGTGATGCTGCCTGACAGACTAAAATTTCAATACGAGACTCGGAGAACCAATTGAGAGGCCCTGATGATGAGGTAACAATTGAGACGAGAGATTTCGCAGACGAGCCTTGTGAGGACATGGGCGCGCAGTACAGGTTTAATAGAAGCAAGGGCTGATTAGTTGGCCGATGCAGGATGCAGGGGCAACTCCAAGGGCGAAGACCGATGCCATTGGGCTGTGCCGCAGTCATCTACCTGCTTGATCTGCCTTCTAGGCAGACCAGTAGAAAATACACTTCAAAAACAACAATTATACTTTCCAAATGGTTTCCTGAAACCAAATCATGATCTCGACTGTTCGCAGTACTCACCAAATCGAAACTGCAATCCCTCCTCTCAATAGGCGAAGGGCGGGTGAAGTGCATTTGCTTTCTGCGTTTATCTTAATATTTCTCCTCGCCCTAACAGGCGGGCTAGCGAACTTCCTGACAATGCTACTCGCTACCACGAAAAAGAAGATCAAGAAGGAGATGAGGCTAAGGGTTCCCGCGGTGATGACAGTAATTCACATCCGCCGGTGCCAGCGGTGGTCAACCTGTAAGTGAATGGAGGGTCTGAACTTGCAAGTCTCACGGTTCACAACACGACAACCTGCGCGGATCCGATATTCCAGTCCAATCGCCAGACTCGTGAAAATCAACGTCGCCAAGCAGGTAATTTAAGCTTGCAGACATTTTTTCGGATGTTCGCCGGATCAGAATCCATCGCGCCGCACAGAAGCGTCTGTCTAGGCAACGACGGCCGTTTTGGGCGCTCTAGCCCGGTGTTCCAGGCTGCCGGGCCACTAAAACTGTTCTTGTTCACTGCCCTGGTTCCAACAGACTACCCCTATTGGCCACACCGAACATGGTTATGATAGGCAGAAGGGTGCTAATGGGGATTCCGTCCGTACCAACAGCAATAGAGAAATAGATATAAACACTGCCTTGAGGCTGAGTAGGTTTTACGAGCAATTGACGAAATTCCTCTCATTCGACCATAAAAAGACCAAAATGTCGTGGCGAAACATTGAAGACATGAAGCACATCACTAAAGGGGTTGACGTGGTCAACCCTGAATACAAGCACCCTCAGCTGGTGATCGTCAGTGAGTAGAACCCCTATGCAGGAGCCCCTTGTCAGCCCAGACTTCTAGAACATTGACACATCTCACCCAAGACGATGCCTTTGTGCTTCCCAACACCTTGGCAACCCAATTCGCCTCCCTGTTCATGAAGGGAAAGCTCTTCAGCGGCAAAGACCCAACCCAGCCCCGACCGTCCGATGAAGATGAGCAGGCCCTCTTCTGCCGGCCGTACAGAGAATGGGCGCCGGCGCCGTACAACAACCCCCGGATCCGGGTCGACAACGCTCTAAGCCGCACAATCAGCATCATCGGGGGCATGGGCGACCTGCTGAGCATCGTCATGACCACGAGCACTGAATGCGACCGCGACCTGCACCACATGAAGACGCGGCTGCTCCACGGCCTGCCGCCCATGTCGCTCACACGCTGGCGGCAAAAGGGGCTTCACGAGCTCGCCAACTTTGAGCGCGCGTGCGAGCATCTAAGCCAGGTCGTCGACGCGTTCGAGTATATCAACCTCCCGCAGACGCAGGACCGCATGCGCAAGGCGGCCAACGGGGTGTGGGACACGTGCAGCGATTTTGAGAGGGCGCTGAACGCCTACCGCAGCGAGCGCGGCCGGACGTCGATCTCGGTGACGGCGATGTGGGAGGAGTTTCTGGTGGACTACTTGAGCACCGTCGCGGAGAGGGCGCATGCTTGGACGTTGGCGCGGTTGGATGAGCTCAGGGAGGTGCAGTGGGCGAGGCTACAGGGGACGGTGTCGATGCCCATACAGACGTTGATGCCCATGCAGTTGGAGATCCTGGACAAGGTGCACGATCTCACGGAACTCACGAACAAGGTGGACACGCGGATCATGCTGCCGCTGCCCGGGTTCCGGCTGCAGACGCTCACGGCGGCCATCCCGCGGATACGGGACAACTGGGACGGGTACCAGGGCGGGACGCCCATGACGGCATTCCCGTACAACATGCGGTTCCGCTCGAAGGTGTACGCCTTGCGGTGCAAGTGGCTCACGAACCAGGCGATGGTGCTCTACACCATGCGACAGGGCGCAGACGTGAGGCAGCGCGGGGATCCGGTGCGGAGCGAGGAGACGAGCCGGCTGCAGGCGCATGCGTATGTGACGGCCAGGCGGGAGTTGCGCGGGCCGTCGCAGGCGATTACCGGCGACGAGCCTTGGATATGTGAGGTGAAGAACATGATGAACCTGGGGAACCGGTCCCTTCGGACGTGGGGGTTCGTGGGGTACCGCATCTGCTACGAACACTCTGATGAGGAGTGGAAAGCTTTCCTGGAGAAGTTCAAGAGCGACGTGACGGCTTGGGGGGACGGGATGCGTGGGGCTGGTGATGTGAAGCCGTTGTGCAAGGTGCGGTGGCTCGATGGCCGGGAGCATGGCATTCCCGAAGGTGATGTCGAGGCGGCGAAACGGTAAGTGTTCTGATGTCGCGTTACTTGGAGGCACCTCTGACATCTACAGACATTACCAAGAATACAGCAAGTCGCCAGCGATGGCGATGTTCCTTCCGACAGGCCCAGACTCGGTCTTTTTGGCTGCGGACAAGGCGTCCATCGAGTCTTATCTACATCCGATCCAGGACAATGCCGGACCCGTCATTCCGGTAGGCGATCTAGGAAGCTTCATCCTCGCCGTCAGAAGCGCGGATAGTGAGAGGCAGAGAAGGGGAAGGGGAGGCGAAGAGGGCGAGGACGCGGCAGACGAAGCGAATGACTTCAACGGCATTCTTAGAGTGCTCGGATCAGTCCTCTTCGACGACCTCTGGGCATCCCTATTCCGCCACACTTTCCGTCTATCGGACCTGGCGAGGATGGCAGAGATCCATCCTCGGCAGGTCTATGTCGGGCCAACTGTGCCCATGGAGAGAGACGGCTGGCGGAAGTCGGGCACGTGGAGTTTGACGTTGTTGAAGTCGTTTGAGAAATGGCAGAAACAATGACGTTACTGCTCGCTCGACTCAAAGGAGGACCTGTACACGTACAAGCCTGTATACATAAAGATACCATCGTTGACTCAATAGTACCATCTTTTCTCGTCTCATTGAGAACGGTCGTTGCCCAACGATGAAGCCTCTGGGGCCCTTATGCGCGTTGTAGAATTCTCGGGGTCGCAAGCCAATTGATGAACTTTTCATCGTGGATTACACCATGGGCCTCGTATGCCCCTTATCCCTTTAGGGGCAGAAAATAGCTCAACTATACTCTTTTTTGTGACTTTTAACCACTTATAGGGGGTTAGAGTAATTATAGATTTTTTTGAAACTCTCGCAATAATTAGCTATAAATTAGCTAATAAAAAAAAAGCGATATTCTTATATAGATTAATATAGCGATTATTTTTTTAATCTTTTTTTTTATTTATTAATTATAGTTAAATTTTTAATTAACTATAGAGGTAAAAAGGAAGTATTTTATAACTTAGGCTATAATCTCCTTAATTAATAATATTAGTCTTTTTTGCCCTACTTAATAACTTTCTAGCTAATTAGACGTATTAGATTTTAATTAGTATATTAATTAGTTATAATAAGCTCTTCTTTATAACCTAACCTCAACTACTTTAGCTTTCTTTCTCTACTTACCCTAAATAATACCCTCCTTAACCTACCTTCTCTACTAATCTATAACGATAATAATAGGGCCTCTAATAATAAACTAAACCTTATAGAGGAGGCTAAAGATAATAAAGATAATAGTAAGCGCTTTTTTTTAGTATTTCTATTATTTCTATAGTTAATTTTTACTTAGAATAGGATTTTTTATAGTTAACCTCTATATTATAGCCTCTATTATAGCTAGCCTTATAGCTAGCCTTATAGCCCCCCCTAGGGTTAGTATTATTATATGAGAATAACTTTAGCCTTAAGTTAATATTATAGTAGCTACTAAAGGTATAGCTTAATAGCAGTATATTAGAGGTATATTATTACCCCTCTTTTTATAAACTTCGCCCTACTAACTATATTATAACCTTTATACGCCTTAATAATAAGTTAGCCTTTAATATTTTCCTACGCTTTATACCTACTAACCTTATTACTAACTAAGCTAAGTAGACTAATTAGTAGTTTCTTCTACGTTAAGTTAGTACTAATAGCCCTCACTAAGGCCTTAAAAGGAAGGCGTTACGCTTTAATAAGGCGTTTATTACTAGCCCTACTAAGGTCTATATCTTTCTTACTTACTTTATCTACTTATTAATATACCCTACTACTTAGTAGGATTACTATTAGTCTACTATACTATAGAGGCCTCACTATAATCTCATTAACTATATCTTAAGGGACTATTTCATTAGTCTTTACTATAATTTTCACTTATAGGACCCTAATATACCTAAGCCTCCTATAGAGATCTAGAATAAGATTTAGCTATAGTTAGACTAGATCTAAAAAGTATCTCTCTCACTCTAAAACCTTAGCTTTATTATTACTATTAATAAGTATATAGTATACTTTTAGGGATACTCTTATAATATCATTAAGATACTAAAAAAGCCTATTAAAGTTAGGTTTAAGCTATAGGTAGCTACTTAGTAGGGCTACTTCCTAGCTTAGATCCCCTATATATATACTAACCTCTTATCAACCTCTAAAATTATTACTACTAAAAAAAAACCCCTTAGCGTTAATATCCTACCTCTATAGCTCCTACTAGTTTAAGCTATAGTAGAGGTAATATAAGGTTTTACACGCCTTACTAATAAGTTAGTACCTAAGAAACCTTATATACCTAAGTAGTTAGTACCTACTTAAGCTATTATTATCGCCCTTATATAATACCTACTTACTCTTACTTATCCTTAGCTAGAGAGGGCTACTACTTATTACTACGTTTTTATTAATAACTTATTTACTA